CGAAGTCGGACACTTAACCAACTGAGCCACCCAGGTGCCCCAATCATATGTACTTTTTAATCCATGGAGTATCTCCAGAAGGATACACAATAAATCGCCAACAGTGGTTACCTGGGAACGGAAATGGTTGGCTGGGGCATGAGTGGAATGGGAACTTACTTTTCACTTTTGTAGACTGTATACACTTATCCAGTCAATACAAATAAATAATTTCAAAAATAAAATAAATGGGAGGTAAATTAGAATAAAGAAAAACTGTCATTACCTACTTCTTTTATTTATTTTATACATAGGTCTTCCACAAAAGATTTTACTTGAAGAAATTATTCCATAACCACAAAAGTTCGAAAAACACTGGAATAAAGAATGACTAATGAAACCATAATGTTCACAGTAAGTATATGAGGATTAAAATTAATAGGAAGTAGTTTTTCATACCTCATATGGGCATTACAGTATCTTTTGGCATACTCGGTCCATGTTCCAAATTTTTGTGGAAAGAGAGCTTCAATCTGCATGAAAAGCTGTAACAACACAAGTGCTCTCAATATGTTGCAACATTTTGAAGTAAATATTATTACTATGATAAATCCAGTTAACAAAATAATAAAAAAAAGAAAAGAGAAAACCTACCTCTTCTTTCTCAAGCCTCCTCCTCCCCCTTCATCCACCCATCTCTGCCATCCTATTCTTCAGGGATAAAACTGCTATCCTTTTCTCTAATGTACATTTATATATTTTGTATGCCTACATAAGGATATGTATACAATAAAACCTTGATTGTGAGTAACTTGTTCTGCGAGTGTTCTGCAAGATGAGCAAATATTTCTAATAAATTTTAACTTGATAAATGAGCAATTTCTTGCAATACCAATAGTATATGATGCTGAACATCACATGATCACAACTGAGCCAATGGTTCTTCTCACTCTCTCTCCCTGAGAGATTGTGGGTGATCGTCTCCCATGCTAGGATGCTTGGTCTCAGGCCATGGTGTTTGGCAGAAATCAACGATTTTTCAGAACACTGGAAGGCGCTAGTATATTTTTTGTCACTTCAAAGCACCTATGGACAGTCCTTTGCTTTTCCATACAAGAGTAAGCTTAGGAATCCTTTGCTTCATTCTAGGTCATACTGCCTGCAGATACAGACCCTTTTCTCTGCTGCCTTCTTGCCAGTTATATTAAATACAGTATATGACAAGAGTTTACTAACACTGTACTGTAGTCAACATCCATCAGTAATAGTGAAAGTCATCCTACAATAACCCTTGTCTCTTGTCTCCCTCACACCAGCCACGAAGGTTTTCAAAGGTAAATGCAAGTTCATTTGTTTATTTTTCTTTATATTTTGTATTTTAAAATTATTCTGTTATATTACATTATTGTAATAATTTTTATATGAATATTCTTGTGTCTTGGAATGTATCATCTGAATTTCCATTATTTCTTATAGGGAAACTCACTTTGAAATACAAGTGCTTTGGATTACAAACATGTTTCTGGAATGAATTACGCTGGCAAACCAAGGTTTTACTGTATATTCTCTTTTATTCACATGAAGCTCATCATATTATACATATACAACTAGAATTTTGTCCCCTAAAATATGTCTTAGACTTTATCAAAGTACATATACATCTATTTGTACTTAGTTTTAAAAATTAACTAAGCAAAGTATTACCATAATAAAGCATTGTTTAAAAGGCCCATGGCACTCATTCCTACGTAGAAGTACTGTAAAATATTTAAACAGTCTCCTGATCATGGACATATAGGCTGTTTCTAGCTTTTATACAGTTATAAAAGTTAATAACATCATGTAAGTCTATGTATGTGTATGTGTGCATATATAAACATATGCAGGTGTAGGTATACGTATCTACAACATCTATCAATAATTTATCTATTCACTTACCTATCTATGTATCCATCCATCTACCCAACCATCCACTACCCACCAATCTGCATCTCCATTAGATGAGACTGTAGAATATATTTTTAGAAATGAAATAGGTGGGTTTAAGGTATGTGCTTTTTAAAGTTTGACGGATGTTACTGTGTTACACTGTAAAATGCAGGTCCCAATTTATATTCTCATCAATAATATGACATCTTTCATTTTTATAACTTTGATAGGCTACACATAGTAATGTCTTTTATTTTAGTATGTTTTTTTAAAATTAGCAGCTTCATTGAGAAATAATTCATATATCACTTTTATTGTTCATACTTTTACAGTGTATAATTCACTGGCTCTTCATATATTCACAAAATGCCTCAATGACCACTATCTAATTCTGTAATATTTTTATCACTATAGAAAGGAAGCCCATACCCATTACTAGTCATTTTCTATTCTCCCTCTCCCTAATCCTGGCAATCACCAATCTGATTCCTATTTCCATTAATTTGCCTTTCTTGATATTTCACATAAATAGAATCATACAGTACGTAGCCTCTGTGTCTGACTTCGTTCACTTAGCATAGTGCTTTCAAGGTTCACCCATGTTGTAGAATGTATCAGTACTTCATCCTTTTTATGGCTGCATTTTCATTATCCATTCATCAGTTATGGACACTGGCTTCTTACTACTTTCTGGATATTACAAATAATGCTACTATGAACATCTGTATCTATATAATTTTTTGTGAATATATGTTTTCAGTTTTCTTGTGTATATACTTAAAAATGGAATTGCTAGGTCTCATGGTAACTCTGGTTTTAACTTTCTAAGTAATTGACAACAAGTTTTCCAAGGAGTAAAATTTATAGCGGTATATGTCTATGTTAAAAAAGAAGAACAATGTCAAATCAATAACCTAATTTTCTACCTTAAGACATTGGGAAAGAAAGAGTAAACTAAACAGAAAACAGCAGGAATGTATAATAAAGACTAGAATGCAAATAAACAAGATAGAGAATGGAAAAACAACAGAAAAAAAAATCAATGAAACCAAATACTGGTTTTTGGAAAGATTGAGATATTGAGAAAATTTTAGCTAGACTACCCAAATTAAAAAAAGAGAGAGAAGACTCAAGTTACTAAAATCCAAAATAAAAGAGGGGACATTACTACCAACCTCATAAGGAAGAAAGGGAATACTATGAACAAATGTACACTAATAAGTTAGATTACTTAGATAAAATGCAAAAATGCCTAGAAAGACAAAGAGTATCAAACTGACTCAAGAAGAAATACACAATCTAAACAGACATATATTCAGTGAAGAGAATGAATCATTAATTTAAGAAATACCCACAAAGGAAAACTCAAGCTCAGATGGCTTCACTGTTAAACTCTACCAAATATTTAAAAACAAATACCAATGGTTCATAAACTCCTCTAAAAAACAGAAAAGGAGAGAATACTTCCCAACTCATTCAATGAAACCAGTATTGCTTTGATAACAAAACTAAAGATATAACAGGAAAACTATAGATCAATATCTCTTCTGAATAAACACACAAAAATCATTAACAAAATAAAGCAAACTGAATCCAGCAACAAATAAAAGGATGATAACACAGTCAAGTGAGATTTATCATGGAATGCAAGGTTGGTTTAACATCTGAAATCAATTAACATAGTACACCTTACCAATAGCTATCTCCCAGTCTTGGCTTATTAATCAGATAACAATTGCTACTTATGTTAAGTGCTTACCATGTGCCAGGACACACAGCAAGATACTTTCAAACTAGTATTTCCTTTAATTCTTACAACTACAAGACAAAAAGCACATTGTTTTCTATGACTCAGTGTTCATTAATAGAAAGGACTTCTCTAGGTTACAGTGCCCTTACAGACTCATAAGAATTTCATCCATCATTTCTTTTTTAATTACTCCATGCTCTACTTGGCTCTAAGAATAGTAAGGCTAAATGGGGTATCAAACAAATACCTTATTCCTCCATTCTAAGTAATTACCCTATCTAATCTGAACATAAGTACTAGTTTCTCTCTATCTTTCCAACCATGGATTTTGAAGTAAAAGAGAAATAGAAAGAAGTTCTGTAATGCAATACAAAAGATATAAAATAGATTAAAATCCAATCCCAAGGAGCTTAAAATGTAAAACAACAAACTGGATAAGTAAATATTAAAACCATATCAGAACCACAATAAATGTGGTGACTATTACAACTTTACACTAAATATGAAAACCTTATGCCAAAAGTAAAAACTATTTTTTTATATACATGTGCAAGCACAGGAAAGGTTCACATATAAATAGAGAGGACAGTCATAGTAAAAGATGTATTTAATCATTAATAGCCATCTAGAAGTTCCCAAAGTATTCTTCTAGCATTTGAAGCAACTAATTTAAAATTAAACACTGCAAAATAGGTGAATGATACATATTTTTAAAGCCAAAGTATAAGGATTCTAATACCTCTTCAGGCCTTCCCAAGGCTGGAGTTCCTGTAAGAAGAATGGCTCGTTTGGCTGTCTGTACTATTGGTAGTAAAATCTTGCTGCGGGTTGCATTCCTGGACTTCATGTAGTGTGATTCATCCACTATAACAACTTTGAAATTCTGATTATTCAATGCACATATCAAAGTCTCTGCATCTGTGGTTAAAAGACCATAACCTAGAATTGTCACTTTGCTTGTAGATATTCTCCTAGGGAAAAAAAATCCATATATTTAAAAATATTTCAGTAACCAATTTATCTTAAACAATACAACTCTTTGGGAAGAAATTCAGAGGAAATAAAGAAAAATACTGCTGAAACTCAATTTCTCTTAAGATTTTAGAGTTTTCAGATATGACAAGCGAGAATGCAAAATTTAAAATTTTGGTTAACCAAAACCAAATTTTTGGGTAAACTGTCTTTGGAAGATTTTGACATCTACCAAGCCACATGTTACTAGGATTAGGATATTACTTCTGAGAATATTTGCTTCCAGACATCTAGAATCGTGGATAAAGTGGATACTCAAATATAAGTTGAATCTTTATTGAAGCCTTCCCACAGAGAAGACAGCAAGCAGCATTTTTCAGCCCAGGTGGTAGTGGGATTTTGAAGACACTACTTAGTATTGGAGGGCTGTCCAGTGCACAGCAGGGCATTTCATATTCCTAGACTGTCCCACTAAGACCAGCAGAGTCCTTGAAACCATGACAACAAAAATTCCCAGCCATGGGGTGATGAAGTATGGGAAAGGAGAGAGGGTACCACTTTATACAGAGTAACACGGGGCTCAAGAGATCTCTAACTTTTGGACTATGTAATTATTCATACATCTATATTATTATTTACCACACTATAACGAAATTTTTCATTTACATATTTATCTCCTTTGCTAATTAATGAGGACAAAGAAATATGTCTTATTTATCTTTGTGTATGCAGTGTTATGCTCCTAGTGAGTTTGGAGAATTAAATAGTTAGACAAATAAATGAAAAAACAATAAAATACATTACTTTAGCATTTTCTATAACATCAGCGAAAAAATACAGGACAGTCAGTCTTCTGCAGTTCTCTACCCCCTAAGAGAAAAGGCAGAGCTCTGAAATATTACAATACAACAATACAACAATTGCATTTAAAAAATGTTTTAATTTATTTTTAAAATTTTAATTCCAGTGTAGTTAACATATAGTGTTATATTAGTTGTATTCAGTTGTGTACAATATAGTGATTCAACAATTCCTAGTGAGTACTCACCTAGTGAGTATCAAGATAAGTTCTACTCTTCAATTTTTTTTTTTTTTACATTTATTTATTTTTGAGAGACAGAGAGAGACAGCGCGAGCAGGGGAGGGGCAGAGAGAGAGGGAGGCACAGAATCAGAAGCAGGCTCCAGGCTCTGAGCTGTGAGCACAGAGCCTGACTTGGGGCTCGAACCCACAAACCGTGAGATCATGACCTGAGCCGAAGTCGGATGCTCAACCAACTGAGCCACCCAGGCGCCCCGATAAGTTCTGCTCTTAATCCCCTTCACCTATTTTACCCACCCACCCTACCTACCTCCCCTCTGGTAACCATCTGTTCATTGTCTATAGTTAAGAGTCAGTTTCTTGGTTTGTCTTTTTTTTTTTTTTTATTCCTTTGTTCATCTGTTTCCACATATGAGTGAGATGGTATGTTATTTGTGTTCTGACTGGCTTATTTCACTTAATATTATACTAACTATATACAGGTTGGTGCAAATGCCAACATTTCATTCTTTTTTAAGTTTTTTTAAAATTTATTTTGAGAGAGAGACAGAGAGAGAGAGAGAGAGAGAGAGAGAGAGAAAATACAAGTAGGGGAGTAACAGAGAGAGGGAGAGAGAATCTGAAGAAGACGGATGCATAGCTCAAAATCACAACCATGAGATCATAATCTAAGCCCACATAAAGAGTCAGATGCTTAACTGAGCCACTCAAGCACCCCTTCATTCTTTTGTTATGGCTGAATAGTATCCCATTCATTGATGGGATATCCATCCATCAATGGACAATAGGCTGATTCCATAATTTGGCTATTGTAAAAAAATGCTGCAATAAACATAGATACATATATCCTTTTGAATTAGTGTTTTCATATTCTTACAGTAAATACTCAGTAGTGTGATTACCAGATCATATGGTAGTTTTATTTTTAATTTTGGTGGAACATCCATACCGGTTTCCTCAGTGGCTACACCAGTTTCCATTCTCTCCAACAGGGCATGAGTGTTCCTTTCTCCCCACATCCTCGCCAACACTTGAGTTTCTAACAGGTGTGAAGTGACATTGTGATTTTGATTTGTATTTCTCTGATGATGGATGATGCTGAGAATCTTCTTATGTGACTGGTGGATATCTGTTTGTCTTATTTGGAGAAATGTCTGTTTATGTCTTATTCCCCTTTTGTAGTTGGGTTGTTTGCTTTTTTGGATGTTGTGTTAAGTTCTTCTTATATTTTGGATTCTAACCCTTGATCACATATGTTGTTTGCAAATATCTTCTCCCATTCAGTAGGTTGCCTTTTAGTTTTGTTGATGGTTTCCTTCACTGTGCAGAAGCTTTTTTTTTGCAATATAGTCCCAATAGTTGATTTTTGCTTTCATCTCCCTTGCCTTAGGAGACATATGTAGAAAAAAGTTGCTACAACCAATGTTAGAGAAATGACTGCCTGTGCGCTCTTCTAGAATTTTTATGGTTTCAGGTCTCACATTTAGGTCCTCAATCCATTGTGAGTAAATTTTTTTGTATGATGTAAGAAAGTAGTCCATTAACATGCTGCTGTCCAGTTTTCCCAATTTGTCTATGATTTGTTGAACAGATTGTATGTTCTTGCATCCTTTGTCAAAGATTAATTGACATATAATTGTGGGTTTATTTCTGGATTTTCTATTCTGTTACATTGATCTATGTTTTCTATTTTTGTGCCAGTACCACACTATTTTTATTACTACAGCTTTGTATTGTAACTTGAAGTATGAAATTTTGATCCCTCCAGTTTTGTTTTTCCTTTTCAAGACTGTTTTGGCTATTCAGGATCTTTTGTGGTTCCACAGAAATTTTAGGATTGTTTGTTCCTGTTCTGTGAAAAATACTGTTGGTATTTTGATAGGGACAGCATTAAATGTGTAGACTGCTTTGGGTAGTACAGACATTTTAACAATATTTGTTCTTCCAATCCATGAGCATGGAATGTCTATTTCTTTGTGTTGTCCTTGATTTCTTTCATCATTGTTTTGTAATTTTCAGAGTACAGGTCTTTTACCTCTTTGGTTAAGTTTATTCCTAAATATCATACTATTTTTGGTGCAATTGTAAATGGGATTATTTTTTTTTTTAATTTTTTTTAACGTTTATTTATTTTTGAGACAGAGAGAGACAGAGCATGAACAAGGGAGGGGCAGGGAGAGAGGGAGACACAGAATCTGAAACGGGCTCCAGGCTCTGAGCTGTCAGCACAGAGCCCGATGCCGGGCTCGAACCCACGGACCGTGAGATCATGACCTGAGCTGAAGTCGGAGGCTTAACCGACTGAGCCACCCAGGCGCCCCTGGGATTATTTTCTTAATTTCTCTTTCTGCTGCTTCATTATTAGTGTATAGAAGTGCATTTTCTATCTTGTGATGTTACTGAATTCATTTATCAGATTGGTGGAATCTTTAATGGTTTTCTATATAGCATATCATGTCATCTGCAAACAGTGAAAGTTTTACCTCTTATCAACTTGGATGCCTTTTCTTTTTCTTGTCTGACTGCTGTGGCTAAGATTTCCAGTACTATGTTGAACAAAAATGGTGAGAGTAGACATCCCTGTCTTGTTCCTGACCTTTAGGGAAAACCTCTCAGTTTTTTCCTCATTAAGGATGATGTTAGCTGTGAGTTTTTCATATAAGGTCTTTATTATGGTGAGATATGTTCCCTCTAAACCTTCTTTGTTGAGGATTTTTATCATGAATGTATCTTGTAGTTTGTCAAATGCTTTTTTTTTTCATCTATTGAAATGATAATATGGTTCTTATCCTTTTATTTATTTATTTTTAAAGATTATTTGAGAGAGAGAACATGAGTGGAGGGAGGGAGGGAGGGAGAGAGAGAAAGAGAGGGAGGGAGAGAGAATCCCAAGCAGGATTCAGTGCTGTCAGCACAGAGCCCCATGTGGGGCTTGAACTCACAAACTGTGAGATCATGACCTGAGCCGAAGTCAGACGCTCAACCAACTGAACCACCCAGGTGCCCCAATCCTTTATTGATGTAATGTAACAAGTTGATTGATTTGTGAACACTGAACTACCCTTGGCTCCTGGAAATGAATTCTGATGGATCCTGGTGAATGATTTTTTAACATACATTGTTGGATTTGGTTTGCTAGTATTTTGTTGAGGATTTTTGCAACTATGCGCATAAGGAATCTTGGCCTGTAGTTCTCTTTTTTGGTGGTGTCATTGTCTGGTTTGGTATCAAGGTAATGGTGGCCTCATAGAATGATCTGGAAATTTTCCTTCCTTTTTTATTCTTTGGAATAGTTTGAGAGGAGTAGGTATTAACTCTTTAAATGCTTGGTAGAATTCTCCTGTGAAGCTATGTGGACTTTTGTTTCACTTTTTTGAATATTGATTTGATTACACTGCTGGTAATCAGTCAGTTCAAATTTTCTATTTCTTCCTGACTCAGTGTTGGGAGATTATATGTTTCTAGGAATTAGTCCATTTCTTCTAGGTTGTTCAATTTGTGGGCATACAATTTTTCATAATAATCTCTCATAATCTTTTGTATTTCTGTGGTGGTGGTTATTATTTCTCCTTTTCCATTTCTGATTTTTTTTTAAGTCTGGCTAGAGGGTTATCATCAATATTGTTCATTTTTTCAAAGAACCAGCTGCTGGTTTCACAGACTTGTTCTATTGTGTTGTTGTTATTATTTAGTTTCTATTTCTTTTATTTTTGTTCTAATAATATCTTTCTGCTGGTTATGGATTTTGTTCTTTTTAGCTCGTTTAGGTGTAAAGTTAGATTGTTTATTTGAGGTTTTTTTGTTTTTTTGTTTTCTTTTTTTTGCTTCTTGAGGTAGAATTGTATTGCTGTAAGCTTCCCTCTTAGGACTGGTTTTGCCACATCCCAAAGGTTTTGGATGATTGTGTTTTCTTTTCTTTTTAAATATAATCTCCATTTTATTTTTTTCCAGAAAACAGTTTTCATAAATTTTTAACGTTTATTTATTATCAAGAGACAGAGAGACACAGAGCGTGAGCAGAAGAGGGGTGGACACAGAATCTGAAGCAGGCTCCAGGCTCTGAGCTGTCAGCACAGCGCCCGACGTGGGGCTCGAATGCACAAACCACAAGATCATGACCTGAGCCAAAGTCATATGCTTAACTGACTGAGCCACCCAGGTGCCCCTCTAGAAAACAGTTTTTCTTCAGTCCTTAAGGACCGGGCCCCTCACATGGGCTTTGGTAGTGGTTGCGAGGTAGCACCTGCAGGTCTAAATCAGGGTGAGGGTGTTCATTCCATCTATGCATCACCAGAGCAATTCCTGACCACCTTGCTGTGTATGGCACAGCTCACACAGTAATGTAGTTTCATGTATAGCTTGGGAAGCACACAGTCATTGAAGATACTCACTTTGGAAACGTCCTCAACAGTGGTGGCCTCTACTATGTGCTGAATAATGAACTTCTTGATGGCCTTGTCCTTGGGAACGCAACAGGCACAGGTGATGCAACAAACAGGCTGCATGTGGCTGTGGCCCCTTTTGGCCTATTATTCCTTCTTTCCTTGGTCATCTTGGAAGTGAGGACCTGAGACAGGATGGACCACTGTGTTTTCATTTTTTCTCTCCAAGTAAGTTTTGATTTCTTCTTTGATTTGGTTAATGCATTCATTATTTAGTAGCATGTTATTTAACCACCATGTATTTGTGTTGCTTCCAGAATGTTGTGGATTTCTAGTTTTATAACATGGTGGTCAGAAAAGATACATGATATAATTTGGATCTTTTTCAATTTGTTGAGATTTGTTTTGTGGCCTAATATGTGATCTATTTTAAGAATGTTCCAAATACACTTGAAAACAAATGTGTATTAAGCTGTTTGAGGATGGAATGTTCTGAATGTATCTGTTAAATCCATCTAGTCCAGTGTGTCATTCAAAGCCACTGTTTTCTTGTTGATTTTCTGTTTGGATGATCTATTCACTGATGTAAGTGAGGTGTTAAACTCCTCTACTGTAGTCATATTACTATCGAGTACTTCCTTTAAATTTGGTAATAATTGCTTTATATATTTGGGTATTCGCATGCTGGATGCATAAATATTTACAACACTTACATTTTTTTCTTAATGTCAACTACGTTTTAAGCCCTGGGTAAACCTAGTTAATATAGAAACTTAGGATTTTCTTGTTATAATCAAACACCAGAAAAGCTGACAGAAGAAAAGCATAGGGTTAATATTACTAACTAACTTAGGCATACTGAGAACCATATACAAAAAACAAGAGCTTGAAAGTCCACTGCAGAACATTTCAGGCATAATTGGCATATGCCCAAAGGAGTTACATGCATTTGTGGTAAATGCATGTTGCCAGATGTTCGTATACATTTAAAGCTATTTCTTTAAGTACTTGGAAGACAATGGTAAGTTTTTCTTTTCCTAAACTGAGATCCTCCAGAAAAGTTATACTCTGGGTTGTAATACATTCTAACAGATACCAAATGTTATCCAAATAAAAATATTGGCCTCTATTTAATTGCTAAACAGTATTTCCTAAATAATAAGCAAAACTAGATGACCTAAATATTATAAAAGATGAGAGAAGATATATATTTTAAGAAAATTAAATGTAAACTTTTAAATAAACTATAGCTAACAAAATGTGCATACAAAGGCCTACATTCTCTAAATCCTTAAGTTGTAAATTTTATGCAGTTTTATTGGACAAGAGGAAATTTAAAATTATTACCAAAATTTTACTTTGACCATGAAAATACTGTCCAAATTTCCTTAGGTCCATAAAGACATATTTTATAGACTTAATAGTTCAAAGGTCAAAAGAGAAAAAGCCTCCAACTATTTTGTTAGGACATTCACAAAGGCCAACTTCATTGTTACAAATAGTCTTTATGTTAACAATCCTAGAGAAAACAACACAGTACAATAATACCATAATTTTAAAAAATCTAAGTATTAACAGACATTTCTTTCTTTTTTTTTTTTTTAACATTTATTTATTTTTGAGACAGAGAGAGACAGAGCATGAACAGGGGAGGGTCAGAGAGAGAGGGAGACACAGAATCTGAAACACGCTCCAGGCTCTGAGCAGTCAGCACAGAGCCTGACGCGGGGCTCGAACTCACGGACCATGAGATGGTGACCTGAGCCAAAGTCGGACACTTAACCGACTGAGCCACCCAGGCGCCCCAACAGGCATTTATTTCAAATATATATACTACCTGTTATTTGAGGGTCAGAAATTGGTTATTTTGAACTTTTAGAAACGTGATAATTTGTGTAATTCACTTATAAATACAATGTAATAAATCATCAATATACAAATAGATTGGTTTATCCCCACGGCTAGAAAACAAATGAAAAAAAAAACCAAAAAACCTAAGTAGTTACATTATGATTTATTTTCGAGGAGAAACTTGAAATAATCTCAAAACAAATATTTTCAATTAGAAAGTATTAAAATTATAAATTAATGTAATAAAGAAAATAAAACTGGTAAATACTCATTTTGAGTGACATATAAAACTTGCATATCAACCAAGAATTTGGAGAGCAAAATCTACCATTGCTGCAGACAATAAAAGCTCATAAACTTCAAATTAATCATTGAAAAGTTGTGAAATGTATTTTTGAACCCCAAAATAGTGAGTTTTAAGTATATTTAAAGTATATATAAAGTAGATATATTACATAAATCTTTCAAAGTACACCTATTTACATTTACTTTAAAAATACACCAAAAAGGAATTTATTTATTTATTTAATTTTTTTTTTTAATGTTTATTTATTTTTGAGACAGAGAGAGACAGAGCATGAACGGGGGAGGGGCAGAGAGAGAGGGAGACACAGAATCGGAAACAGGCTCCAGGCTCTGAGCTGTCAGCACAGAGCCCGACGCGGGGCTCAAACTCACGGACCGTGAGATCATGACCTGAGCCGAAGTCGGACGCTCAACTGACTGAGCCACCCAGGCGCCCCCCAAAAAGGAATTTAAAGCATTAAGTATACTGCTGGGTTTTAGATAAATAATACAGATTTTAAAATGTAAAGTAAAATTCTCCACTCTACTCTCTTAGTTCTAAATTATGGCTAATAGGTTATACATCATTCTAAACATTAGCATTTACTAATTACATGTGAGAAGGCTTTTTTTCCCCTTTAAAGATTAAAAAGTTGTCCTTACCCAATATCAGTTTTATTCTGAATAACATTGATATCCTCTGGACTTAGCTCTGGGATCCATTTCTCCATTTCTTCTGTCCAAGGGTATCTCAGAGATGAAGGGACCACTATTAAAAGCGGCCATTCCTCCTTATAGAAGTAAGCAATTGCAATTGCCTGGATTGTCTTTCCTAGACCCATCTACATTAAAAATAAATAAAAAATACATAAACACATAAGTACATAAATAAATGCTGACATATTTTAAATGAAAATACTTATCAAATATTTACTTAAGAGTCATCAAAATAATTTTCTGATGTAAAATCAATTGGATTACATGGTTAAAAGCTCATGATTATGATGACCTTTAAAATTCATTAAGCAAACTATTATTTTCCAATCATTTGTGACTGGACTTAGAGACAAAATAACCTGTAATTTAAAATACTAGTTATACTTAATTCATATAACTTAATTTTAGAAATATTTATGTGAGCATTTATAAGTTCTCTTGGCACAAGAGTAAATGCCTTACTATACATCACAATACCATGCTATTTTAAAGCTTGAAGAAGGCATAAAATATGCACATTTTACAAAAAAAGTAAGAACAGAGAGGTTAAATTATCTGTTCAACTTAACAGGTAGTTAACTAGATGCAAAATAGTATGAGAACCCACGTCTCCGGTGTCTTTGCACTTGTGTTTTCACACTTACATTATAATGCCCCATTTTTAAGCAGTAGTCATTTAAAAAGAAGTTACTAAATGAATGTTTTTAGTGGTTTTGTTCATAATACCCAGAATATGAAGACAACCCAAATGTACTTAAATGGGTGCATGGATGAAAATCATGGTATATCCATGTAATAGAATACCATTTATCAATAAAAAAGGAGCAAACTATTGCTATACACAACAACATGAGTGAAACCCAAACACATTTTGCTAAATGAAAGAAGCCAAGCCCAAAAGCCACAAACCGTGTGATTCCATGTTTAGGTCATCCAGAGAAACACAAAACAATAGAGACAGAAAACACATCAGAGTCTAGGGATGGAAGGAGGAGGGCAGCATGAAGGAATCTTGGGGGATGATGTTCTGTGTTTTTTTTTAATTTTTTTTTTAATCTTTATTTTTGAGAGAGAGACAGAGCAGGGGAGGAACAAAGAGAGAGGGAGACGCAGAATCCAAAGCAGGCTCCAGGCTCTGAGCTGTCAGCACAGAGCCCGATGCGGGGCTCGAACCCATGAACCGTGAGATCAAGACCTGAGCCGAAGTCGGACGCTTAACCCACTGAGCCACCCAGGCGCCCCAATGTTCTGTATTGGTTGTGGGAGCACTTATATGTCTGTATGCATTTGTCAACTTAAAGAATTATACGTGTAAAAAGGATGAATTTACCTAACAGTGTGAATTATACTACAACAACACTGCCTTTTTAGAAAAAGTAGTTATTATTGTGAACCATAAGAGAAGGACAAAAAGACCTAAGTCCTTCTGACGTGACTATTCAAAGAGAAAAAAGACACACATACCTAAAACAGTTAACTTATACTACTAAGTTTTAAATGCTGAGCAAAATTAAAGAGGAAAAGATAAAAAGGAAGTTTGGACTTTTAGCAAGTCTCCACTAAGAAAATCTTGTTTTGTTTATGTATTTTTCGCTTAACTACTGCTATTAACAACAACAAAAAAGAAATCCTAGAATATTCAAGCAAGTTTATATTTATATCAATCACACTCGAAAAGAAAACTAGTGTGAATTACTTAGGAAAATGTTCTTGTGACTGGAATAAAGACTGTCAAAGGGAGACAAGGTAAATGAAACATAGGAAGTGACTTTGTTTCTGTCCTGGTATTCAGATATTTGAACGTAAAAGCAAATTAATGAAAAATAAAGATCAAGATTGTTCAATTCTGTGGGACAAGTAAAACCCAGGTAGAGAAAAATTAGGAAAGAAGGTTAATGAAAAGATTTTAGTGCAAGAGCAATAATATTAGCTAACATTTCAAAGTTCTGAGGCAAATAACATTCAAGAATAGATCCAAAGCTAAGTCTAAAAGCTTTTAATGTACACAAATAACCTAAGTGTCCATCAGTGGTTGAACTGAAAAGTTGTGGTATTTATATACAATGGAATATTATTCAGTCTTGAGAAAGAAGAAAACTCTGCCATTTGACACAACCTGGGTGGAATGCAAGGACATTATGCTAACTGAAATAATCCAGACAGAGAACGATAAATAAAGCATGGTAACACTTATACATAGAATCTTTGGGGGAAAAAAAAGAAAAGAAAAAAAAAGAAAGCACCAAACTCATAGTAACAGAGTAAAAAAAGTGGTTGCCAGGGCTAAGGGACAGGGAAGATAGGGAGAGGCTGGCAAAAACGTACAAACTTTCAGCTAGAAGATGAATAAGGTCTGAGAACCTGAGGTAAAGCATTGTGACAATGGTTGATAATAAAGTGTTTATGACTGAGGGTTGGTGGGACAGTGGAACTCAGATGTTGTCACAAAACAAAACAAAACAAAACAAAACAAAACACCAGAAAAGTGTAGATACGTGAGATGCTGATGTGTTAAATATATGCGGGGGGAATGCTTTTACAATGTATACATCTGTCAGGTTACCATAATGTAATTTACATGTCTTGAAACTTGTTTTTCTGTTATACCTCAATAAATCTAAAATTTTTTTAAAATACTGGATACATAAGCTTTTAATATTGAAACAAAATCCAGTTGCAGATAAAAATTCTTTCTTATCTACTGTTTGAAGAATAAAATTCATGTTAAGGTAGGCAGGGTTTGGTAACAGGTTAAAATAACGTAGGAATGTAGACACACTCACAAAGATACATATTTTATTATAAAATTAGGGGTGACTGGGTGGCTCAGTTCATTAAGCGTTTGACTTCAGCTCAGGTCATGATCTTGTGGTTGGTGAGTTCAAGCCCTGCATAGGGCTCTGTGCTGCTAGCTCAGAGCCTGCAGCCTGCTTTGGATTCTGTGTCTTCCTTTCTCTCTACCCCTCCCCTGCTTGTTCTGTCTCTCAAAAAATGAATAAACATCAAGAAAAAAATTTTTTAACAAAATTAAAGCATTTTACAAGCTAATATTCTATATCTCTTTCTAAGGAATAGCATACAATCCCAACCTTTAGGCCTACATAGCCAAATTTAAGATTTATCCGACGGTAGCAGACCTAATCCTAAGAGAAATAAATAACTTTTATATTACTTAGTTTTATAAACCCAAACCAAAGAGCAATTATGCACCAACATCGGGTATAATGACTGGTATGTTTTCTTGTTCTCAAAAGCCCTCCAATACTCATACTGAACCAACTTAAACATCCCTGGATTCTGAGATCAGTATGGCTTCAAGGCAGCAGTAATTTACAAATTACTGATGTTTCCTGGCTTGGGGTCATGGGTATTGCTGCTTATACCTAACGATGACAAAGGCGTACATTTCCAGGAAATGAGCCATGGCCAATTCTGTGTGTATGGACCATACCACTAAGTAACTCTATGCTACAGCTATGGTTACCTGGTTTTGCTTTCTACAGTGGGTTCACAGACCATTTTCTTAATTTAAACTTCTTTGGAAGTAAGGGTCTGTTTGCTACAGTAACTTTCTGGGAAGTAGGATTCTTTGGGACTCCAGATTTTATACTGGAACTTTACCTTCTACTTGCTGATTAATTTCCTTGGTGCCTTTCTAAGTGGACCTTTTCACACTTCATGTAGTGTGACTTTGCCTATGTTAGCCTTCAAGGCACCTATTAATGAGCCACTTAACTAAATTTCCTAATATTGTCTGCTACTAACATAGGGACACAGATCTTCAATAGGGATATGTGGGGAAAAAATTGAAACAATAGATAGAAAAAAACACAGTTGGGGAGAGAGAAGTTATGAACTGAGAAAGGGGAAGAGAGAGGAAACTAGCATAAATACAGGAAAGGATAAGAATACTTCTGATGTATGGAAAAGCTAATTAGAAGTATGAATTTTTTTTAATCTCCTGGTTCCCTAATCTTGCTTTCTTGTATATTTGCTACTATATTACACCAACTGAATAAATTCTTAATTCCAGATATGTCATTTTTCAGCTCTAAAGTGGTCAGCAGACTCTTTTAAAATTTAGTATTTTTAGATTCTTTTTAATAGATTAAATTCTCCATTGAAAATTTTCATCTTTTCATTTCTGTTGTCCACCACTTCCTTGAGTTTCTTGAATAGTCAATGCTATTTTAAAATCTCCTTCTGATAACATCAACATATGATCACCTGTGGATTGTATTCCTAATTTTTTTTTGGTACTGTTTTCTCAGCACTCCTTTTATTTTTCATTGGATTCCAGAAATTAATTGTGAAGAAGCTATAGAAGCTTTAGATGATAAATTCACCCAGGTGGAAATTAGGTTAAGTTTTCTTTAGCCAAGGCACATTGAGTACCAGCAGATACCTCATTCCCTTTAAGTCTTGGTTTTAGGTTTTGTAAGAACAAGTTTATTTCAGTTTTGTTCTTATTACTAGGGTATGGTCTTTACTACTAGGGGGTGTACTTCTGGAGGTCACCATAAGCCCAGGCAGTGTATTTACCAAGATTCTTCCACCTTGACAAGGCACAACTCTGATCTGTCTCCTGAGTACCACAATAATGCTGAAATCTCTGCCTTATTCTTTCTCCTCCAACTACAAATTTCTGCTGGGTATTCTGGAGTGGCATCCTGTGGAAGTACACTTTAGGGGATGGCTAGTGTGTGAGGGTAACATGTATGCAGATTTCTCGGGTCTTTCTCTCAAGTTACCTCCTCTCTGGGATTTTTCTCTTTATGTCCCAATGGTTCAATGCATACTGAGACCTAGAAAGAGCTAGACCGAGTAGTCTCTGATAGAAAACAGGTGTAAGCAGCCTGTTTCAACTATGTGGCATCTGGCTTTAAGAAGAGAAAGAACTGAATATACCTCTAGTGATAGATCTAGGCAGCTGAAGAATAGAAAACCAGTTTGGGGAGCTATGAGTGTACTATTTCATCAAGTTTAGGAAATCCTAAATATTTTCTTACTGTTCCCAGCTATCTTATCACATGATTTCTTAATAAAGAATTATGACTGCCTTTTAAGAACTATTAAATTTTAAGAAAGTATCAATTAAGAAATAAGGAGCCATTTTAAAAAGAAA